TAGTAAAATTGTAATAGTCAGGCAACTAGTCAATATGAACAACAAAGAGGAAGTAAGTCCTGAGAAAGTTCAAGTACTTCAACCTGCCACAGGAAGTGATGGCCCAGTTCTACAGTGGCATCACTGAAACTATCCTCAAATCATCCATATCCATCTGATATGAATCTGCCATGGCGCTGGATCCAAGCAGGCTGAAATTCATCAGCTGCAATCTGCCCTCCCTCCTGGACCTTTATGAGTCAACGTCTAGGAAGGGGGCAGTCAGAGAGCCCTCACGCCCTGCTCACCACATCTTTCAGCTGATGCCGTGCATGAAGCACCACAGAACTGTAAAGACAAAATGTCCAGGCACAAAAACAGCTTTTATTGCTTCACCACAGAAATAGAACACTACAACACAAAGAGATAACAGACTTCACGCACATACTATACTACAACACTTCCTGTAATATATCAAAGATTAGCTGAATACCTCAATACCAATTTAAAACCCAAACGAATGAGTAAAGAACAGATTAGATAAAAAGGCTTTAAAATCAGTTTATATGTATTCTATATCAACATAATAATTTAAATCAATCATTTCAATATGTCAGAGGATACTTGGACAATATAGCTCAATTTCTGATTGTATTTAGATATGTGAAGCTGAGCACAAGGAATCTCTTAACGGTTTTTCATTAACAGCTGTCAGATTAATATGTTCCTAACCTTGAACTCCTTCATTTGCTTCCCAGAAAACCCGGTGACCTGTTGCTTCAAACACGTAATTGCTTAAAATTCTGTGAACCAAAGGCGTCTGTTTGAAATTAATTCAGCATATTAATAAAAAATGAAGAGATGGTAGAGATTAAGGCGTGTGTAAATTGAATATCCATTAGATTTTCTAGTCATTTAGTAGTAGTTTTGTTGAGCTATTGAAGATTACAGTATTGGCCAGTTAAGGTGAACTGTGTTTCTCTCTGCCATTCTGATTGTTATTAAACAGGTTTCACAAACATTCTCTCCACCTGCCATTGGACAGAGAGTCCCACCCAAACTCACGTCATTGGTTAAGCCACTGTTGCCGGGCTGGTCAGTATGCGAAAAACAAACAGAGCAATGTTTTGAAAGGTGAACTAAACTACACCCATGCAAGTTATACTTATACTACTACAAGTAGTAGTGCAAAGAAACAATTGTGGATTTTATTGACTGAAACAAACTTTTCAAGTACATTTCATGTTTTATGTATGAAATATTTGTAAGGCTAAATTACATTGCTTTCTAATCTTATGAAGTATGAAATAACAGCTGCTGGTAAAACAAAATAAATTATAAAAATAAAATACAGACCAATCTGGTAATTATACAGTAGCAAAAAAAAAAACTACCCCCAAGCCTAAAACTTACCTCTAGTTGGCGGAAAACACAGCATATTGCAGCCATGGAAGCCAACGAACAAACTCGGTCAGAGATCGCAGATTCTACCCGACCTAAAAAGCCTCCGCACCCAACAAAGAATCTCTATCTAAAACGCGATATCAACTCATCATAAATCAATTCATCAACTTACATTGTAAGTAAGTCTCCTCGTATTCCATTGTCAATTCCGCTCGTTCCTGTTGCTTGTTCTCAATCTGGCAACCCGCGTGAGCGTCGAGTCTGAGCAGGAGGGGGCGGGGGAAATAACTCTCTCCAATATTTTGAATTTGGACTGCAGTACCCATTTCAACCGCTAGCTGTCAATCAAGTAGTAGACGAAGAGTAGTACTACTGACAACATAAGCGATTCCAGAGGGAGGCGCTCTAATGACATCCCCTAATTGGATGTTTCATTGTAGGAAGCGTAACTTGTAGTAAGGGCGTGGTTTGTAGTACATTTTACTAACCTTTCAGTTCGGCTAAACAACAGCAGAACGGATATCAGCGCAACAAAACAAGTGTTTTAAAGACACTTTATATTAAGGAATATTATGGATTTGACTGCACTGACACTATCAGATGAGAGCAAAACTTGAACTGAATTGAGCTGGATGATGACACTCTTGTCTTCTATGCATTATATCAGAATTGGATTTGTTTCCTAATTAATTAATTTTACAGCATCGACACTGTTATTGAACAGAACTGAATCAACTGACTTCAGCTGAATGACGGCACAATTGCCTTCTGTAAAGCTGCATATAGCTGAATTGAACTGGTTTGATAATTTATGAACCTTACAAAGATATTGCATTGAACTGAATCAACACTGAACTGACTTTAGCTGAAGAATGACACTATTGTCTTTTTAGTTCAGCTTTACAGCAGAATATAATTTGTCTCATTTTTGATGAAGTTTGCATCAATGATTTTCTTTGGTAACACTTTATTTAAGGTGACGTAGTTGCACGTTACTACATGTATTGCTATAGTAATAACTGTAAATTATGCAAAATTACAAGTAACTAACCCTAAACCAAACCCTAACCGTAACTATATAGTAAGTACATGTAGTTAATTAATATTATTTGAGTACAATGTAAGAACGTCACCTTCAAATAAAGTGTAACCTGTTATTTTCTATAAAATATATATATATAAAAAAAGGTCACTTTATTGATGCCAAAAACGCTTACTAAATACATTAGTGAGGTGGACCACAACCATTCTTAGGGGGTTAGGAATCAAATGAGAGGGCCGACACAAGGGCAAGGCAATACATTAGAGGAAATTAGCATCTCTGTCGCCAGAGGCGACTAGCAATTCTACAGGGACAACAATACACCAGGATGAGGTGAGCCGCCTGCAGAGTGTACATTATTGGGAGCAGAATGAAAGGTTTAGAGGTAAAGAGCATGCCTCCTTAGGCGACTGGCAGGGGTTAGTTTGGAGAGGAAAAAGTGGATCATGGGTGCAGCGCTGTGAAAATCACCACAGTAAGTGGCTCTACTTAACAGAATGGTACATCTGCCTCACTTGAATACCTATTCATAGCCCTTCACAGGACATTTCCACTCTATTTTTGTAAATGCCAAAATTCTACAGCGCTTGATGATGAATTTGAAATGTGACAAACATTTTGGAAGCAATCTTTTTCTAGCAACACATCCAATGACCCTTGAAACTGTTAAAGCAAGTTTGATTTGTTTTATGTCCATGCTATCAGTGGCCAAACAGACACTATGAAATCAGCTCAAGAGACATCTTCAAGGCTAGAAACCATCTTATTATTGGTTGATATTTTCAAAGTGCAACTTGGAGACCAATTCGGCACCATACAGTCTTTTTTTTTTTCAAGGTGCACTTCACAATCAACGTCAGACTATTTCTCAGACAGGCCATAAGTGAACTTTTAAATGCTTCCAGAGACCTCTACAGCACAGAGGGTGGCCAAGCATTCAGAAAACCCATGTGGCGTCTGAAACCAACCATGTGAACGTCTGAACCCATCTAATAGGACTTTTCTTTGTGGTCAAGAAAACAAAGGAGGTTTTTTCACAAACGGCAAGAACCTGCAACAGACCACTCATAAATATAACATGATAATAGAGGAAAGAAATCTACGTGATGTCTGTGAAAAGATCTGAGGTGACCATAAAATTTGCCATTCAACCCGGCCGCATGGAGATGAAAAGCTAAATTGGACGTGCATTAAATCAGGCTATGGTTATTACTCCTCAGGTTCAGTTCTAAACCAATGTTCAAACAGCATCAGCCCTATTTCAGAGAGCTAAGCATGGTTCTGTTCACATATTGTTTGGCTGTAAACTACAGAAACAACCAAAATAACTGAACCGACTCTTACATTTTCAAGTCTCGTCTGGTGTGTGAACCCGTTTCCTCTACTGTGGCTACAAAAAAAATAATAATTTGTGAGCTACTACATGGAGTATTTCCTTTTATAACAGTCATTAATTTAAAAAAATAAATAAAAATGGAGTGGGCCTTTGAGAGCTAATACAAACTGTATCCTCATAAAATCTAATTTACAAGTTGTAATTAATCCACACAGAGCAAAAACCAAACCCTAAACTGTAGCTATAAACTGTTTAATCGTCTAGAAATGTTAAGATTAGAACGTCTTTTCCTCCAGAACTCAATGTGCTGACACATGTGAAATATTCCTCACATTATTCAACCAAAAAAGAAAGATATGAGGAACAAATTCACAGTGTCTCTTGCATTTTTAATGACATGTTTCATCAACAGAGACTGACAGTAACAATTTACAAGGTCTCATTTGTTAACATTCGTTTACTATGTTAGTTAACATGAACTAACAATGAAAAATAACTCTACAGCATTTATTAACCTTAGTTCATGTTAATTTCAACATTTACAGCAGTGGTCAAAAGTATTGGCAGTGACATACATAAATTAAAAAATTCTCTAAAAAATACTGGAGCAGCAAACTTTGCGAAACAAAATTTATTTCACTGCCAATACTTTTGGCCATGGCAGTACTAATACATATCAAATACGTAATCAATCTGTTAACATTATAGTTAACTGTGAATTTGCATGAACACATTTTTAACAACTGTACCTAAAATTAACTACAATATTAACAAAGATTAATAAATGCTGTAAAAATTATTGCTCATTGTTAGTTCATGTTAGCTAATTAATTAACTAATATCAACAACACTTGTTTTAAAGTGTTCCCGGGTCTCATCTCATGGGGTGAAATTAGGTAAGCTGGGCCACTTTTTGACAGTCATTGCAATGTAAAAAAGTGGTTCCATTTTTCATGGTCACCCTATATAATAATGCTAAATAATGGTAAATTATGCTAAACATGTATTTTGAAATAATTTAAAATATTTTTCAAATTATTTAGTAAATGTACAGTAAATGTTTCCTAATTCCAAAAAAAACAACGCAACACTGTATTACATGGTCAAAAAGTTGTGGCAAAGAACACATGGTAAAATCAGAGTAATACTCACCCCGGTCTGTAAATCATCTGGTACAGTAGTAAAACACAGTAAAGTAAACATATAAGGATAAAGCAAAGATGCTTGGACATGACCTACCTTCCATGACATAAACCAGGGAGCCCACATCGCCTTCTTTGATGATACAACTTTCTTTATCATACTCCACAGGGTACATGCAGTCCACAATCTCCTGAATCTGAGACAGCTCCAGGTTCTTCATGAAGTCATTTTCAAGAATGGCCTCTTTGATTAGTTCTTTAGACCTGTGGAAAACAAGGATGAAATTGCTTACTTTATAAAATCAAAGTAAAATAATTATTTACATTTTTTTAAACTGGAAACAGTCACAAATCTCACACTATCTCACCAGAGTTTAGCTCATTGATTCTTGAGATATGAGACAATCAAGTCCCGCAATCTTACTGCAATGATTAATAGAATAATTACTTGTTATATTTTTCTCTTTTTTTTTAATTATCACTAACTCAGCTAAATATCCAAAGATAACCAAGTCTACTGTACTCAATAATCAAATTGTAGGTTGAGTCCACCAAAGGAAAAAAACTTAAAAAACAAATTGAATACACCTCTTTTATAAAGTTTCCTAGATGTATCCTTACTTTTTGTTGATACTCAACTAACAACAAGTAAGAATTTTTTGCTACCATTCCCATTAAGTTATGAAAATGTTATTTCTGAATGTTCTCTGAGAGTTGGTTACGGGAACATTCCATTTTATAATTTTGCAAACATTATGGGAATACTACTTTTGAATTTTCTCTGGACATTCTGAAATAAGTAGTAACACTAAAACAACCATTAAATGAACATTCAACTGAAACGCTTCAGAAAAAAACAATGCATAAATATTATTTTTGTCCTAACATTATTAAAGACTATGGCTGCGTTTCTCAAAAGCATTGTGAGCAAAGTTGATCGTATAGAGACCATTGGTGGCAATGGTTCTACGATCTACTTACGATGCATTTGGCAAATGCACCCAGATAACTTTGAAAGAACATTTATTTAATGTTACTGGAGGAATGTTTGTTCATAACTTTGATAGAACCTTGCAGAATGGTAGTCAAAGTTCTGAGGACTGTTATGGTTTGCAGGGAAGTGGAGAGTTAAGGATCTATTCTTTGCAAGATAATCCAAATGAGAACCATTTATCCAAACAGGAAGACGAATATACTCCAACGGGGAAACGTAACGGCTTTACAACTGAATGCAAAGACAACAACCGACAAAAAAAAAAAAAAAAAACGAAACGGTGGTACAGTATATACACACAGTCTGGGGTTAACAAGGCACAGGTGTGGTTAATCAGTTGTCATGATAATCAATAAGGGTAACTATGGTAACAATGGTAAACAGGAACAAACCACAGGAAGAGAACACACAGGAGACAATGGAAACATAAACAACACTTCAAAATAAGAGTCCGTATAACAAAGCCAAGAAACACAAAACCAAGTAACATGTAACAAGAATGTTCCCTGTTTGCTGGGTACTTATTAAAGCATTTAAAAAGCATTAAAACTAGGCAATTTCAGTCAATATTCTTCCTTAAGATTTTCTTTCTGTATTTATAAAATCAAAAAGAGATAAAGTCATTTTTGAAATTGCATGAGCAAAATCGATCTGAAATATTGGGTTCCTCTAAGAGAACTGAAACTGAGTCACATGCAAATCTCTCATTTTTTTCTTGAGATCCCAGACACCTCCATTCAACACCACAGCATGTGAGATTATTCACAGAAAAGTGTAAACCTCTGAAATAATCAGAGAGAATCCCCTATAGCTGGGTTTTTGAATGCAATCAATACCTCATCACGTCAATGGATGAATTCCTTCGTATGGAGTGCATTTTGGCTTTGCGTGATGAGTCATTTTCATTGACAACACAGTTAATTTGACAGTGCTTGTCAGATGGCCTTCCTTGTGCTACTGCATTCCGAGTTCTCTTTCACAAATCTATTTTTTAATCATGGAATGGGTAGATGTGATTATTTAACTATTGCACAAGCAGGTCTGCTTGTGGAAATGTAGCATTGCTTTTCTCCTTTGATTAGAAATGGCAGCGTGGCAGAGATGATGTCAAGAAATGGACCATCTGTGCAAGAGTGCGCAAGTACTGGAGTCCGAAGAGGGGACGTGGAGCGGACAGATGACTGCTCAGATACACTGCGTTACTACCACTCACACACTCCTGCTGGGTACTAATGTCCCATGGGCGGATGATAAGACCTCAATATCTGTGGATCTGCCTGGACTAATGACATTAACAATCAGTGCAGTTTCTGATTCGTCATCCATGTGGGCACCAGCACTACAAACAATGGCGTTTTGTATATGAAACTGACCTCCCACCAAACACAAATCACTGATTCTTGAGATATGAGGCTAAACACCCACCATTAGTTTGGGAAACCACCACATGTCTCCAATGTATGATCATGACAAAGATGATCACTAGAATATTCAATTATTTTACTCTGTAAGCAATTTGTAGGGTTGATTCCACTGTCATAGGTTGATAGCAAACAGTCATCACTCAATGGCTGGATGTCTAAGTGGTGTCTGGACAATAATATAGATGTCATAGACAATTGGACATGTTTCTGGTCCAGACCTGGCCTGTTGAAAGGTTAGGAAGCAGACAGACTGGCTAAAACGACTGTCTGCTAGCCGTCTCACATCACAGAAGTCCGATACATTTCAGCACATAGAGATTCTTAAACCTAGATACCTTAATATTGAGACTGTGTCTGTTCCCCAAACTAGTAAAAACAAAAAAAAAATCCCAAACCCATTTAAGGGTAACAATTTACTTGATGTTCAAAAAATAAAAAAAACAGATATAATAAACAAATGATTAGGCTTGGCTTGCTGAATATTAGATCTCTTTCTACAAAAGCACTTTTTGTAAATGATATGATCACAGATCATAACCTAGATGTGCTGTGTTTGACAGAAACCTGGCTAAAACCAGACAATTATTTTACGTTAAATGAGTCCAGGGCTCTAGAGTGCGACCAAAATTTGTAAGGGTGCGACTAAACTTTTTCCTAGGTCGCACCGGTGCACAAGTAATCAAATATTGTTGATTACCTACAAAGCACTAAATGGTTTAGCTCCGCAGTACTTGAGCGAGCTCTTAACGCATTATAGTCCTTCACGTCTATTGCAATCTCAAAATTCCGGCCAGTTGATAATACCTAGAATATCTAAATCGACTGCTGGCGGGAGATCCTTTTCCTATTTAGCACCAAAACTTTGGAATAGTCTTCCCACCATTGTCCGGGAAGCAGACACACTCTGTCAGTTCAAAGCTAGACTAAAAACACATCTCTTTGCCCTAGCATACACATAATACATTATAGACTTCTATAAATTCAATGTTAGGCTGCATAGATTAGGTCAGCCGGAACTGGGAACACTTCCCTTAAATCTTGATGTACTCGCTACATCATAAGAAGAATGGCATCTACGCTAATATTAGTGTCTTTGTTTATCCCGAGGTTTTCCCGCAGCCTGCCGGATCCAGGCCGTGTCCAGATCTGACGAGGGAGCTTTGCCTGGACCCGATGACAATGCAGTGCTGAAGTATCCACTATCCTCTCCCTATGGAGGATCCCTTTCCCACTTTACAGATAAAGCGTTGTGAATTCCGGCTCGCGTACCCCGAAGTGATAAAATAAAAAAAAATTCTGTATCAAAATTTATAGGCAAGAAAAGTAGTTTGTTTAGGCTGGGTTGTATGAATTACAAACCTGCGCACATATTTTAAAAAGCACATAACTATAGAATTCTGAATGAGCATGTGAACGCCATCAGCGTTAATCACAGGTTCGCGTTTAAAGTCTGATCATTTCGACGGAGGTGAATCAATCAAAGTTAACTTTAGCTGGAAGTAACATTATTCAAGAACCGCTATAACGCCAAAACAATCTGTTACCTTAAATTATATGTTTATCTCGGTAAAGCTGCTTTGAAACAATCCATTGTTAAAAGCGCTATATAAATGAAGATGACTTGACTTGACTTGACCTAACATTGTCGCATCCGCTGCCTCTCCGCGAACGAAGCGTTTGTTCTCCTTAGACGGAACTCACACTCATGGTTGGATCATATTTACCCCTTTTCCACCAAGGCAGAGCTGGTGCTGGTTCGGAGCCAGAGCCTAGTTTCAAATCGGTTCTTTGTTTTTCGACCACCAAAGCACCAGCTCCGAACCAGTAAAAGTGGTTCTTAAGTAGCACCAAATCATTGCTGGTCTAGAAGTACGAACCGCTTACGTCAGCGGCAGGGGGCGGGGTTACCGTGACCAACAAGACGAACAGAAACTTGTGACCGCCATTTTTTAAATAGCAGCTAATCAAGCTAATAGCAGCTCGATTGTAATCTCCGTTAATGCAAGTTACGGTAAGCTGCACGATCGCGTTGTATTCGCCGTGTTTGGATGCCGATGTACGTTAGGTTCGCAAAGCCATGAGCATCAATAGTAACGCAACGATCGCCATTGTTGATAGAAGGCTTGTTCGAGATGCATCGGAGCGGCGCGGCCCGATCGGAGCTGCGGGAGTGTGTGGAGAGCATACGACTCCTTGTGCTTTTTGATCGCTTTTGCAGTGCTTTGATGTCATGCGCCGATCGGTCTGCGAGAAGCCGATGCATCTCGAACAAGCCTAGTGTGTTTGTGTTTGGCGCTGCCGTGCTAGCGTTGCTGGGCAACATGAGATGTATACAGTGACGTAAGACCTGGCTCTGTGCTGGCTCTCTGGCCTGTGGAAAGGCAAACCGGTTCTTAGAAAGCTCGTCAGTCGAACTAACTCCGAACCGGCAATAGCACTAGCTCTGAACTAGCACCAGGTTCTTGCTGGTGGAAAAGGGGTAATTGTGATCTAAACCATTCAGAGACAGAGATGGGGCGGGTCTTTGCCTCTGATTGGCTGTGGTCTAGATATTCCTGTAGGCTCCGTGCTGTGTGATTGAAATTGGAGATAAAGAGAATCAGTTACGGCAATCAGCATCAGCAAAATAAACGCAAGAAAACAGACGACGAACAATGAAAAGAAATAGACCCATAGAGGGTTTTTTCTGTAAGAAAAGTAGTCCTGTTTCCCCCAACACTCTCCCAGGTCAATGCTCCAACAATAGCCCAGACATGGAGCTACTTCAGCCAGTCTCCCCAGTCCCTGGTAAGATGCCAAGCCAGTTTCCCTGGTTAAGGTTTAATAAGTAAAAAAGAACGTAATGC